ACTATTAAATCAAACAAAACAAGTACAATTGCAATGGTTACAGAATCCAAGGCAAATACATCGGGATAGCTTGAACAATATAAGACATGAAGCCAGAGGGCATTTCAGGAATTAAAAGATCGGACATCTGAAAGATAAAATTAATGAGCTTCATACAAACAATACGAATAAAAACATCAGAAAACTCCATAGGGAAATGAATTTAAGAAGGATGACCATCCGAGAAGTTAACCAGTGAAGGATGAGAATGTTGATTTGATGCAGATTCCCACCACATTTTGAATAGGTGAAAGAAATTTTTCTCTCAGTTATTGATTGCGCATAGGGTTAGTGATGTCAGGCAGATAGTAATACACACAGCTGAGCAGTTATACCTAACTGTAGTACTTTTGAATTTGAAACTCCTGTTGCAAAGTAGAAAAGGAACAAACCATCGGTCGTGATCAAATTCCGGAAGAACTGATTATAGAAAGAGGTGTAATATTACGTTCTGAGATCCATAAACTGATTAATTCTATTTGCAATAAGGAACAAATGCCTGATCAGTGAAGAGTCTAATACTGTACCAATTCAAAAGAAAAGTGAGACAACTGACTATAGTAATTTTCGTGGGATAAAACTGCTGTCAACTATATAAAGAATTATATCCAATATCCTTCTATCAAGGTTAAACCCATATATATAAACCTAATGGGGATCATCAGCGTGGCTTTCGACATAACAGATCAACTACTGATCACTTTTCATTCATCACGTACTGTAGGAAAAATGGGAGTACAATGAGACAGTACATCAGCTATTCGTAGACTTCAAAAAAGCATATGATTCAGTTAGGAGGGATGTATTGCACAGTATTCTGATAAAGTATGGGATACCCATGAAACTAGTTAGGCCGATTAAAATGTGTTCAAACGAAACATATAGTAATGTCCGTATAGGTAAATATATATATGATAATTTTCATATTCAGAGTGATCTAAAAGAAGGAGATGCTTTAAAGCCACTGCTTTTCAACTGTGCTTCAGAATATATCATTAGGAAAGTCCAGGAAAACCAGGTGGGACTGAAATTAAATGCAACACATCAGCTGTTTCCTTTTCTTTTTATGAACTAAGTCCCTTGTACTGCGGCCACTTCTGGCCCCAGTACCAGCCCCACATGATAGGTGAGGGTGATTGTGGAGCAACTGATGGAAAAAAAGATTGGCAGGGGAAACCGAAATACTCGGAGAAAACCTGCCCCAGCGCCAATTTGTGCACCACAAATCCCACTTGACCAGACCCGAGATCGAACCCGGGCCGCCGCGGTAGGATGCCAGCGACTAACCGATTGAGCTACAGCGCGGCCCCACATCACTTGTTGGTGTATGCTGATGATGTGAATTTACTGGGTGAAAACATAGATAACATAAAGAGAAGCACACAAACGTTAGTTGACACTAATAAGGAAGTTGGCCTAGAAGTAAACACAGATAAAACCAAGTATATGTTGCTGTCTCGTCACCAGAGTGTGCGGCAAAATCGTGACATGGAGACAAATAACATACTCGTATATTTTGAAAAAAAAACACCGTTTAAAAATTTGGAATGACAGTAGAAAATGAAAACTTGATTTAGGAGGAAATTAAGGGGAGATTGAACTCGGGTAATGCTTGCTACCATTCAGTTCAGAATCTTTTGTCTTCTCGTCAGCTGTCTAAAAATATAAAAGTTAAAAAAATATAGAAAACAAGAATTTTGCTTGCTGTTCTGTATTGGTGTGAAACTTGGTCTCTGACATTAAGGGAGGAACGTAGAATGAGTTTGTTTGAGAACAGGGCGTTGGGTAGAATATTTTGACTTCAGAGAGGTTGGAGAAAACTGCATTATGAGGAGCTTCATAACTTGTACTCTTCTCCAAGTATAATTAGAGTGATCAAGTCAAGGACGAAAAGATGGACAGGGCATGGGGCACGAATGGGGTAGAAGAGGTATGAATTTAGGTTATTCGTGGGAAAGCCAAGAGGAAAAAGACCACTAGGAAGATCAAAACTTAAGTGGGTGGACAATATTGAGATGGATCTTAGAGTGATGGATTGAGATGTTGTGGACCGGATAGATCTGGCTCAGGATAAGGACCAGTGGAGGGCTCTCGTGAACACGGTAATGAACCTTCGACTTCCATAAAATGGTGGGAAGTTCTTGAGTAGCTCCATAATTATCGGCTTCTCAAGAAGGAGTCAGCTCCATGAATTTATTTGGTTGTAAGAAATAGTAGGTAATATAGTTTTCTTATCAACAATTTTGGAACTGTAGAGTGAGTAGCTTTCTCTCGGAAACGGTTTAGAATTGGAAACCAATACTGTGATCTCTCGGAATATCGAATTCTCCCTCTGGGTCACTCCTTATAATTTTACATTCAAAAATTCAAACGTAATAAACATTAGTCTGTTTCGCCTCATTTACTATTTGAGGTATGTCACACAGAGCATTTGTGCTCTTGTAAACATTGTCTATGAAGTTCCTTACTACAGTCTCCACTAACAGAGCTTGACATCCTTCTACAAACATTAAACGATGGAATTAAATTTTGCGAACTCTTTAATTGGAAGTGCATATGAGACTTGCAGCCAGGAACCACCAGCCACCGACAGGCAATATTTGCTCTTACACGAAGAAGCCCTCTAATGTCGAGACACCTCTGGGAAGAAAATTCTTGGCATTTTTGGGCCAGAAATTTATGGTCCTGTTATGGGCTGTTTCTGCGCATTGATCCTTTAACTATCATCTTCATTCCTGTTGTCTTCGTTACGATTTCGACTGCTTTGATTTTCACGCTGTAAGTAAGTTGAATATATCACACCAAGAGTTTAAAAGAGTAAGAACTCCGTAAATGTAACTGAAATATACTTGGCGCTCTCGCACCGTCTCGCTCTATGACTTACACTCACGTTTATAGAGCTTACTTATAAATTCGTTCTCATATGTTAAGATAAGGGAACGAAAGTAATACAGGCCTATTATTTAATTTTCTTTCGTGTCTTACAAAGAATATATTTTTTTTTCCTTCTGTTGTTAAAACATTTAGACCGAGGATAAAAATTGTTGTTTCTCAGTGTTGGCCCTTAGCGAGCGGACGAGCACATGTGTAGATGTCGGAGTTAATGTACCTGAAGTGGCTGAGAGTGACATTACATTCTGCAGTTATTGACGCTGCCATGACTAGCCCCTAAATCCTTGTTTGTGGAAAAAGTAGCGCTGGAACGGGTTTTCTCCGAGTACTTCGGTTTCCCCTGTCAATCTTCTTTCCACCAAATTCTCCATCATCATAATCACCCTGGACAGGCTACAGTAGGCCAATCAGTGACCGCCGTGCCGAGTGGACTCAACTGGACTCCACCCCCCACCCCCCCACACCCCACTAAGCGAATTAAAAAAATACGTTTGACCTGACTGACCAGCTGTAGTGTCGTCATGGCAGAGTTAACTTGGCTGGGCCGTTTTCTATATATACCAAAGAAGACCAGAGTGCAGTGATAAGATTTGTGAAGGCTGAAATTGTATCAGGGGCAGAAATCCATGGCACACTTACAGGACAACTGGAAATAGTGATTTACTGAGCCGGGCGTTTACGAATGGATAATTAAATTTAAAAAAATGGGCGCTTAAGTGTCACTGATGAAGAAGGACCAGGACGCCCGTCCATATCCACTAGAGAGGGAAATATTACAGGAGTCCATGCCATGATTCTGAATGGCCAAGGGTGACTATTGATCAAGTGACTCATCGTCTGAGCATCAGTCATCACTCTGCTCGTGGAACCACTCAAGGCCGACTTGGTTTTCATAAAGTCTGTAGCAAGATGGATTCCGAAACTACTCACAGGAGAGCAAAATTTCAACCGTTTGACAGTCTTCCAATGCCTATTGAACTACTATCGCAATGAAGGACTGGATGTACTATTATTTCCCAGAGAACAAACGACAAATATGAAAAGAAAAACTAGACATCGCCAGTCAAAAAGAATTTGAAAAGTCTACCATCTACGGGAGAAGTTGAAACCAGCCATTCGAGCAAAGGGCAGATGACTGTTGTCTGAACGTGTCACAACGTTGCAGAATAACGTCCGTCCGCACACTGCCGCCCACACCGTTGAAAAGCTCTTTTTTTTCCCCTTTGGCACTACAGCCCCAGTGGGCCTAGGCCTACCTCCATGAACTTCTCCGTTCACTTCGGTTTTTCTAGATCTTACACATTCGGTAGGACTCCTTGGGTGGGTGATCGGCTCGTCGCAAGGCCTCTACCTGTACACAAACACAGAAAAACGCACACACACAAACTAAACATCCATGCCCTGAGTGGGATTCGAACCCACGATCCCGGTTTTCAAGCGAGCGAAGACAGTACATGCCTTAGACCGCTCGGCTACCGTGATCGGGGTTGGAAACCTCTGCCAACTGAAATTTCAGATTTTGAAGTAACCAAAGTATAGTTCTGATCTGGGTCCTTCTGACTATCATCCACTTAGAGACGCTATGAGAAACTGCCATTTCGCCAGTGTTCAAGAAGCGAAAGGATTGGCGCAGGCGTGGCATTTTCTATGTCCATATACAAACACGTGGACGGCTGGACTAAGTGTGTTGAAAAGAAGAGAGACCATATAAGAAAAGATAATATTATACACAGTCACTCTAACTGAGATTTTAATAAGAAACGTATTGCTAATATCTTGTGTCTCGCTCCAATATATACATTTATATGAGTACTTCCAAGCTTCCGCTTTCAGTCGGAGAGCGTGACAGAAAGAGAAAACTTGGATAAGCGCACTTGAAAGGATAACTAGGCAGTAGACGAAGCAGTGAGTTTGAGAAGATGGACTGCATATAGGCCTAGCGTCTTCTGGTCGGATTTTATAGAGAGGACAATGAATCTTCTAGTTCTGCAAATGGCGAGTAATTTCTTGATGAGGAGTAACATTTCGCTGAACCATACATTTATTAAATTGCTTTAATTTCAGCTGATTATCTGTTGTCTGATAATGACGTGTCTAAGTGCTTATCATCACAGTGACGTGAATGCAATGTTGAGTGTATAAAAGCAGGCACGGGGCGTTGCCTCAGTGTTCACAATGGCCAGCACCAGGACACATTTGCTGCTCTTGCTGCTTCTGTCGGCGACGCCGTACATCCGGGCTCAAGGAGAGGGTGAGTGTTTTGTTGCTTAAAACTGAGACAAACTGTGGTGCGCGACCATAAAATGAAGGTTGTTTCCTGTATTTAAACTTCAAGAGCCTGATATTTTCTGAATAATAAATAAAACATCTAATTTCCACCTGATAGAAAACAGAGTGTACAGGAAAACTCGGTTCCACTGCCTCCAAATGCAGAATTTTATCCTGAACGTAAGAAAATGACTAGGCTGTGTGAGACATGTGCCACAGATGCTTGAAATAAGCGAGGAGAAGATCATCGGTTGAGGAATCTCATTCAGGGAATCGAGTATATATATATATTTCACGTGTGTGGGCGTACGCGTGGCTGATATTATGGATTTATTAAGCGTCTTTATTACAATTTCACTTGATCGGAACAGTTCACACATTTGTCTCCTGGATAACGAATCTCTTACGGTTCTCTGGATCTTGCACTAGCTTCTAGTCTTCTCTTCTTTATCCTTCTGTATCCTTCTATCGTATTCTGTCTTCTACTGGTCAATTCTCCCCCTGAGGTAGGTTCTGGTGGAACCGCATGGAGATCACCTCCTTCGCGTGTTACTTTGCTCTGGAGGTTCGTTGCCGGGTGAACGGAAACGTTTCTGTATGCTTTGCTTAGGAATCGAAGTGGCTCTATATGCAATGCATTGCTTCTTCAGTCGGATTCGTTGCTGTGGAAACGTGTTCCAACAATTCCCCGTCCAGCAGCGGCGTCTTCCGTGTTGCCACGGGAACGTGCTCAGCGAAGCCCCGCCCAGCAGATGGGCAGATTGCAGCTTCCCGGCATCATGTCAATATATGCCGTATATATTTTAATGTATCCTAGGTTTCCCGACTTACCTATATCTATGATATTTCTTAACCTAAAACCTTGTACTTGATTATTTTAAGCATCTATGCTTCATGTCTCACACAGTCTAGATGTTTATGTTATGTTTAGTATAAAAATTTATATATGAATTTTAAATGATTTGTGAAAACATATGAGGACAAGCAATGCAATAGATTGACGTAGTTGGGACACCTGATGATGGCACTATGTTGCCGAAACATGTTGTGAAGTGATAGGTGAAATTGTGTGCACTACAGGACGGCCACTATATACATATAATGGATGAAAATCAGTGCAACAGGACGCTAAAATATAACATTATGAATACAGTAGGATCGTGTTGTCCTGTGCACTGTTGTTTTGTGTATTGTGTTTTCTGCGATGTACTATCTAAATATTTTAATAATCTTTACACGAATTTCATGCTTTGAAAGCTTAAGCATAAGATATAACTTTACCTTAATCCATATATTTTACGTGGAGGATGTGATATTCATTGAAGTACCTCAAAGGGGGCTCAATGGTGGTTTTGTCTTTAAACTAATAAATTTTCATCCAACTATAATGGTAACTTTCTTAGAGCTCCTAGTTTGGTAACTGAGTGAGCCGCTCAGAAAGTAAATAAATTAACTTACGATACTCAGCGAGAAACAGTTCCAAAATCAATTAAAATTAGAGCGTTTTGTGAGCAGTTGCATTCACACCTAAATGAAATAATTGACAAACAATGTGACATTAAAGCAAACCATTCGGTCATATTACGAAAACTGGAGGCATTCATATCTGAATTCTCAAAATATGGCGTAGGAATAAAGTTCATAAAAAAACTTGTTAAAATACAGACACGACATAATAATATTAATTTAAAAACGTATTCCTCTTTAATCAAAGTCATTTTTATGAATGACAATGTTCGTCCTTCAAGTGGTCATCGAAAACCGCGTAAAGGAAAATACTCTTTATGCTAATAGGGACACAGCTGAAGGGCCGCGAGCCTTAGGGGTGGGTTGAACAAATATGTAAGGCACATCGAACAAAATATATTTAAACAAGTGGGAGATTCTTTTGTTGAGAGCAGGCTGAGGAACAATGAATACTTCGTCAGTAATACGCCGTCGTTATGTATGTCTACAGTCCTTTTTCTGATTATAACGATGCATTTTGAACAGGTCGGACGTCGACAAAATTGAGATTTTTTTCTGAAGAGATCTGTCGAAGAAAAAGAATCCCTTAGAAAGAAACCGCTTGGAGGAGAAAATACGCATACGTCACACCACAAGAGCTTAGCTGCTCCTTTGTTTGACAGAAATATAAGTGATGGGTGCCGCCGCGGGCTGTGACTTCCCATTATATGGGCTACATACTGCAACCCAGGGCAACGGATGCACTGATACTTATTGCAGCCGGTGCCTGCAGCACTCCATTCACCAACCGATGTACACTACATAAATACTTAGAGGAACCCAGGGCTACAGGATCCCATATGGGCACTTGTGCCGCCGAGGACTACAGGACTTAATTTTGCAACTGATTTCGTATAGTAGACCTCTAGTGCCACCTGGGCAAACAATATTTCATTCTTCTAATGAAAATGTATACTTGTAAAATCTAAGATTATCACGGCGGTGACTATGAAAAATTCCGTCTTCTGGGACGTGACACCGTGTAGATCTTGTGTGAGCCGAAGTTTCGGAGGGACGTATCCCCTCCATCTTCAGGGTAGAAAAGTCAGCGAACGAGGAAACAGCGTGAGCAGGTTGCTGCGTCACATCCATAACAGAGTGTTTTCACTTCCACTGTCGGGATGCTTTAAAATCTCACTCTGTTACTTTGTGTGACTGTCTAAGTTCGGGTGTGTGCTATTGTTCTCTTTAATAACCTTAATGTAAATTAAATCAATTAATTGTTTAGAAATAATTAAGTATTGTTGCAATCACCAAATTAATTGGAGTGTATTAGGAAGATTCTTTTACTTAGGCGGAGCTTGGGTCAAGGTTTTCATTTAATTGTAAGACAAGTAATTTAGAAATAGGAGAGGTCACAGAGTTGGCGTTCCTTTCCACATTCTATACTTAGATGTTAGCAGTGATTATAGATTTCAGAGGGGAGGGGGTTGTTCCAAGGCCAACGCTAAATTTATATTTTATTGTACGAGGCGCTATGCGTCAGTTGGGACCTCCCAATATGAAAATCTACGGCCTATATTTGTGCTCTCTTCTCTACTTCAGAACATCCAATTAGAACCTGGAGGACGTCATCCCTTCGAGTTTGAAAAATTGAGGAGGGACGCCTTTCTGCAGAAATGCTTCATTTAAATACTTTGTAAACTCCAGTGATTGAGTTCGGACTTGCTGGGATCACGTTCCGGTGACACATTATAAATCTGAAAGTCACCACAAGTATTTCGGCTTCCAAGAAAAAAAAAAACTCAGAAAATAAATTCACGGAAACCGCTAGTTGGAAGTCTGAGTAATTAAATGTGAAGTGTTTCAGAACTGTGAAAAATGTCTGAAATTACGTTCATCGCACAGAAAGAGTGACGTGTAGCGTTCGTGCAGTATTTTAGTGTTTTAATAAAAATCCAGTTGAGCCGATTTTTGCCTTCTGATTCAGTGAATGATGCAGTGCAAGAACCTCCTAGTGATATGATTTACATACAGTCTGCTCTCACTCCTGGAACAGGGTCAAATGCCAGCCCTACCTGATCTAACCCCATCAAACACATGCGGAGTTATAACCGAACTTAAAATATTATACCCATTCTACACACAGTAATCCTACTCTCGCCTAATCAATTCCCTACATTCGCAGATCTTGAGATCTACCGCAACAGCTACAGTAGTTGATCTAGAAATCACAAAATTCCCGCAAGTACAAATAATCCCGCGTTCTACAAATTTGCATAGAGAAACCTCACCAAGAAAGGTTAAGAGCTGTGATAGTTGCGAAGGTCGTAAAGAACTTGGAGCACTTGCTCCGCTCTCGTTCCTTCGAGGTTTAACCCAGAGTCAGTGGAAAAATACTGTATCCATTCAAATGAATAACCAGACCTAGTTTACTCATATTCAGATTCTCGAGTTCTTCATTTCCTTAGGATAAACTGGGTGTCAGCAGTCACGAGACTGATCTTGTATCGGCTCCATTGATCCCATATTCTGTGAACGCTTCTGCATTTAGTTGCCATTTACATCAAGGAAAACGGGTAACAATATATCTCTCTGCAGACAATGGAGAAGGAAGGCCATAGTATTTAATTTAACATCGAACAAAAACAAAAACGAGTAACGTCACTTAGGAAAATGTGTGCCAGTCTGTTTCGGCACAGAATGTAGACTGGATGATTAGGCATTATTGCATTTTTTCAATAGGACATAGAAACTGCGAGAAATAAATGTTGAATTGCACAGAATCGTGAAGGTGTGTTATCGTAAATTAAGCTTATTAACTGACATTAATTTACTTACAATAAATTCTTCATTATTGTCACCAGGAGATACATCACCAGCAGATGTAACACCAGGAGATACAACACAAGGAGATACATCACCAGCAGATGTAACACCAGGAGATACATCACCAGCAGATGTAACATCAGGAGATACATCACCAGCAGATGTAACATCAGGAGATACATCACCAGCAGATGTAACATCAGGAGATACAACACCAGAAGATGCAACACCAACAGGTACAATACCAGAAGACACAACACCAACAGGTACAACACCAGATGGTGCTGGGATGGCATACGTAAATGTATTCATACTTACAGCGCTTTGTGTTGCAGCGATGAAGTTATAAGCGGATTATACTTGAAATGATAAACTAATTCCGACTTCAGTTTGTTTCATACAATGTAATTTATACAAAATTTGTACAAATACATGTGTTAAAGTAGCCTAGGTTGTGCAGTTTTTTCGATCACAGTTCATACTCTTTTGCTCTGCAATGACATGCGGTGCTCTCCAGCGGTGCAAAGCAGTATCTGTGATGGTACTGACTATCAGCCCTGACCTCTAAGTAAGGTAACACAAAGTCTGAAATTCTTTCTGTAGATTCTGATCAGATTAGTTCCTTATTGGTCTCTTACTTTCAGGCAGGAGTATAACTTATAAATACTCGTATATGAGGTCAAAATGCTGGAGAAAATGTGTGGTCTTTAGAGGGATATATAGCCTTAAACAATTAGTTTATAATATTAAATATATTAAGCAGCAATGAGTCGGACATGCAGCCTACTTAGTTCTGATGAAAATAGAATAAATATAAACACTTTTGGTGTAGTTATGCCTGGAAAATCGTCACTCGGAATATCAAGAGCGTGACGGAAGGATAGCGTTAAAATCTATCATTGGAAAATAGGTTTTGAAGATGGAAGGTGGAAGAATGTATGAGAAGGTGCACCTGAAAATCAGATATAGGAGAAATTTTATTAGCAAAACATATATTTGGGGAACTAAATTGCACTCAAAGCATTAAAACAGAACCGACAAAGGTGGACCTTCTGTCTCTATGGAAGTGCAAAATTGTTTACTGCATCTGTATCTAGCTCCTGAGGAAAGCGTTCCTGCAGATGCTCGCCAAATGAAATGAAAAACAACTGCCATGCAGAAATTCGAACTGTGTACATCCCATACAAAAAGCCATACCTTCACACCACGCCTCATCGCTTCCACTACGTGAACCTCATCTACAGTTCTTAAGAGTGGGGAAGACTTGAAATTTGTTCAGAAGTGGTCCAGACACTGACACACCTTCACCGCGTTTCTGCACAAGTATTCGCCATCTTCTCTTACACCACTACACCTTGCTCTTTTCAATCAAGATCGTGTTGTCACCCACTTAATCAACAGATAATCGTTTGTCTTCTCTTCACCCGACATGAATTGTTCCTTCAGGTAAACCAAACTCCCGAATAAACTAACTTTCGAATCATTGCGTTTGACTCTGCCCGTTGTGCCCTGTCCAATTTTGTATACATTTTCCTTCCGGTGGACACACTTATAAACCCAAAATATAAAGACAGAGAACTATGAAGGAAGCAAATCCAAAAATCCAAAACTAGTCTATAGGTCACGCACAAACTCTACACGTGGAAATATATTTAATTTCCTTAACCTGGGCACGTTATTTTCAACGTCCCACACTGAAGGCGACGCAAGAATCCTTTCCCATAGCTCATGCAGAGGAGCACTGGTATCTCCTTAGCAAATCGCCGATCATGTACCAGGGCATATTACCCATTGAGAGTGACGGACTAGATGCTGTCGTATGAAACAAGTTGCTTACGAAGAAAATATCGCAGTAAAATTTGAAACAAACTTGTTTACAAAAAATAAAATAATTTTTTGAGACCAGAGCCCTGATATATCCGAATCCGCGGTATGGTGAGGCGCGTTGTAGTGGAGTTTTTGGAGAAGTAGTCCACAGTTTAAATTTAGCCTTTCCTATCAAAGTAGCTCAGTTTTTATGTGTGAGGATGCAGACAAATCAGTGTTCGTAACGTACATTTTGTCCCTTCCTTCCGTACTTCCCATGTTATTTCATTATGGGCACTGAAAGCGAGTCTGTACATGCCTTCATTAAACCTGCACTTCAGCTCTCCATTTGTCTGGGGTTTCTCTGCATTACGGCAACCACATACAGCAACTGAGGTGAACTCAGTAATTTGGTACAAATAGCAGGATCGGTTTAGAAAAAATCTCAACTTCAGGCAATGAAATGTGATCTTTGTGACAAATTTGATAATCATTTGTGTGATCTACTAATGGAGTCTTCTTAGCTTTCCTGTGCCTCTCCAGAATAATATTTGTAAATTCAAATAAAGTAAGCCCCTGTCCCTTCTATAGAAATCATTACTACCGTCATTGCCTTCCCATTGCATTCCAAGCTATTTCAGTTCTTCTAATCTTCAAGAATCCGTTGATTCAGTGACAAGTTACATGGGTCTCCCTTATTCTCACGATGTTTTACTGTATTACGCTATTTGCAACAGATCAACAGTTGTCTAGCAAAATTAAGAGAAGCACATAGTCTCATATGAATATGTTTGCATACTTCTTCAAAAAATTCAACTTCGGAACTTCTAACAAATTATGTTGCATTAGTTTGTGTCAGCACAGAGTTTAGTTAGCTCAATGAATCACAAATTTTGCGAGAAATTTGGCAGCAGACGTCACGTCAATCTTCTGAAGAGAGAAGACCAACGAAATCCGCTACAAATCTGCTTGTGTGACGTGCTCATTTCTGAGAGGGTCACAAAGAATAGTGAAATTGAGCCACACTAAACACATTTAAAACAATATACAAGCAAACAAAACAAACTCCGTGGCCTATAGTCGGCAAGCGAACTATACCGACCAAGCGACCGCCGCTTGTCGGGGAAATTATGACCAACTTTTGCGGATAGAGGGTGACGCGTGGTCAGCGCCACGAATCCCCACAGGCGTCAATTTCGGTTTGCTAGACCGGAACCGCTATTTCCTTGAAATGGCTCCTCAATTGTCCTCATGAGGCTGAGTGGATCCCGTTCTAGACCCACTGCTAGCTCCGGGAATCGAACCTAGACCTCTGGTTCTGTAGCCAGGACCTCTGAACACTAGATCACAGAGGCGGTCTTTAAAGCACTATAACCCAGCCTAATCGAAATTAGCATAAACTAATTTAACTTATAAGATTCTACCTCGTAGTACTAATGAACTGGTAGAAATAATTTATGAGAACATTCCAGATTCCTTATGTTCAGAGTGAGACCATCATCTTATGTTGATTCAAAATTCCGTGGAGCCTATATCGTTTGCAGTGTGACGTTAATGCTATTCCTGCAACATTAAGGGACAACGCGGCCATGAAAAACACATGTCACAAGTGCTGCTTACAGAGGAGCGGAAATGTACTAACGGCAAGCATATATCTGACTTTTGCATGGTGGAACTTATTCTCGTTTGTCGGCATAAAAATCAGGGGTTTTATATTTCCCATTTCATTAAATACTCACGGAAGTGCTAACGCTTTTTTGTTCATTAAAATTCAAATGCCCCTTCTTATTTCCTGGTCGTCTTCTTCGCGATATTTACTTGCTGGTTTCTTAGATATGTAGCCTAATCCGGATGTACCGAGTCAGATCTCTTCATATTGTGAAATCAAACAAAAGTAATTTATTATATTTGATTTGTCTCATTTTGGTCCGGCTCGCTACTAATTACAGAGTAGATAATTTTCAGTCCAGTGTGACATACAAGTATACAACATGTAAGATTTGAGGCTTTCACGGCGGTGACTATGAAGAAAGCAGTCTTCTGGGATTTGGCACCGTGTATATGTGGTGTTAACCGACGTTCCTCCGAAACGTCGGTTAAAACCACATATACACGGTGCCAAATCCCAGAAGACTGCTTTCTTCAAGTATACAACACTTCAGTCTTTTTCACCTTACATGCTTCGATTAAAGAAAATCATCCTCAGAGGCATATAGTGAGCATTATTCAATGCTTGAGTGCATATGGTTAAAACATCTTATGTGACAGTGTTTCCTGATTGTAGTGGTGTGCCTCTGAGGATGATTCTTTTGAATCGAAGCATATAAGGTGAAAAAGACTTAAGTATTGTTTACTTCTATGTCACACTGGACTGAAAATTATCCACTCTGTAATTTATTAAAATTTACAACTGACTCTAGCTTGTAGCACGCTTATCCTTTCGATATTTATTTATGTAACTGGTATCTATGAAAATGACAATTTCTCTCTTTTAATAACATTTCTATATTTTATTGAAAAATAAGTACTTCTCCTGAAATGGGGGTTGGTCGTAAAGTCATCTTGCTAATTGAATCATACAGTATTCAGCAATTAAAACAGATTCTGATGAAGTTAGGCTACATTTATGAATATAGAATTGGTCGTAAATAGGCGTGAAATTTGTAGTAAATACGAGTAAAATTAATGTTATTAAACATGTATATATTCTATTTATTTGTCATACAATTATTGAAACACAGTAAAATGATTAATACAAAATTTACAATAACATTTGTACACGACCCAGTTGATCACTGCTCATTGTCATTCTTTTGTTTGAATATTGTACCATGTCACCCTCTGCTGCTGCTTTCCCTGATTTAACTGGGCTGCATCTTCAATGACTCCTATTCCCATAAAAATGCAGTCTTGAATTGAGCTGATTCTGCATCCGCACAAACACATCCGAAGTTGCAGGGATACAATATCATGAAGCAATAGAACAATACAATATATTTTAAGTCCACACATTTAAGAGTACAAATAAAAATATACATACATTTTAATTGAGCTGAATCTTCATTCACAAAAATATGTTTAATTGCCATAAAATTACAGAAGTTCAAAAGATTTGACAGCAAAAATATCTGAAAACTTTCTCCCTTTCATAAAAAAATACAATTGCTCTATGGTTATGCACAATATAACACTCGCAGTTCACATTTCGGCCCACAAACTAATTTAAATTTGGGTTTTTTAATGAGATCTGAGAAGATACGAAGCCAGATTAGTTCTCTGCTGGTGCTCACACAAAATATGCCTCTGTAAGTTTGTACCGCGTAACCTAAATAGCATGCAAATTGTAATAACTTCACATGGCGCTGCAATTAACAGTACTGAACCAAGGCCGTTCATCAGCTCTGGTCCCAGAATTTTATGGAACCCGAAGGTTCATTAACGTGTTCGCAAGAGCCCTCCACTGGTCCTTACCCTGAGCCAGATCAATTCAATCCATACCATCCCGTCCTATCCCTCTAAGATCTATTTTAATATTTTACACCCACATACGCCTTCGTCTTCCAACTAGTCTCTTTCTTTTGCGCTTTCCCAGCAATATCCTATATGTGTTCCTCCTCTCCCCATTCGTGCTACCTGCCCTGCCCATCTCATCCTATTTGACTTGTTCATTCTAATTATTTTTCGAGAAGAGTACAAGTTATGAAGCTCCTCATTATTCAGTTTTCTCCAACCTCCCGTCACTTCATCTCTCATCGGTCCAGTATTCTCCTCAGCACCCTGTTCTCAAACACCCCCAGTCTATGTTCCTCCCTTAATGTCAGAGACTAACTTTCACGGCCATACAGAAACACAGGCAAAATTTTAGTTTTGTATATTCTAATTTTACGTTTTGGACTACAGGCGAAAAGGTTCTGTGTCGTGCCACTGCTGCACGGCGGGACATCTTCCGGTAGGTTTGTGTTTTCCGTGCAACTTTTGCACGGTGGCTCGTCCCTCTGCGGACGACGACCAATTTCTTCTGGGATTCACACTTTTTCCGTGTCTTATCCTTCGGTTCCTGGCGGCGGCGCTCCGCGGCCAGTTTTCGGTCACTACGCTGTTTCTTCTTCGGTTCTCCGACCGGCATCACTGTGACGTCACCTACGGGGACTACTACTTCTTCTTCTTCTTCTTCTTCTTCTTCTTCTTCTTCAAGACGTGCCTCCATTTCTTGGCAGGCAATTGTCTCCATGTCTCTTTCTGCGTTGGTTTCGGCAGCCATCTCCTTGTGGCTGGTGGCGATATTTTCTCGCATGGCTTTCGTCCTTGCTCGCTCGCTTCCGTTTCTGCTCGGATAGCTTTTGTTTCTGCATCTAACTTCTCTCCCCAGGCCCTGATCTTTTTCAGCATTTACTCTTTGTCCTCAGCGTTCAGTTTGGCCATGATTTGTTCCTGGCCAGCTCTAATTTCCTTGAGCAGCATTTCCATCAACTGCTGTGACTCCATTCTTGTCTTTTTCACTTGTGTAAGTTCATAAACACTTCTGACGCCAAATTGTCACGTATACATATAGTGTTTCACGACTTTAGGGCAGAACTGCAGGAGGTGATTTCCTAGGTCTTTGTGATCAAAAAAGTTCATATAAACATGTGTCCGATTTTGGACGGTTATGACCGTTTTTTCACTCCCGTACACGCCCTCGTGTAAACCGTATCTGTCAGCTGGCGAGTTGCTATTTTTACCCAGCTACAGCCAGAGCGTTCTCGTTATCTCGACTCTTGAGAGGTACCTAAGGCGGGGTGGGTTGGTATGTTGAAAATGTCCATCCGGTGAGTAATTAATTTGTATATAAATTATCTGATTGTGTTCTATATGGCAGATATATAGAGTGTTAAAATTTAACAGCGATAAATCTAATATTGACCTATTTATTTTTGTTTGAGTTTATTAACTTTATCAACAAATCATTGTGAAAATGACCACATTAATTCTTGCGTGCTTTATAATATATGTAACGCAATGCTTATGGATAGCTTGCAGATTACGAGTCACACAGCCATACGCAGTTTAGTGTGTCCCATCAAAAGCGTTATCTAAGATCATGTGATCGTGCTGCCTCCTAGACTGTGTTCTCTGTCTACAAACATTGCATATATGGGAAAACGAAACGCGTTTACCAGACGCTGTTCTTCCTCCCTTCCTGCCAGACAGATGTTATCTCTTGCTGCACTCGCGGAATTGCTCTATGGCTCCATATAGCCTTCTGCCAAATTCTCCTATGTATTTGGAAAAATATTTGATTCTGAATGAATGTCAGCAGAGTTGGAAAATGTGAAGCGAGTTGTCAACTGCTGAAACAAAATAAACCGATATGGTCTGACGTCTACAATTGCCATAGAGGCCTGCAACTCTGAAAGTTGTTAATGATCAATTTTTCTTCAGTATGTAATAGTTTCTTACACACTTCACAAGTGGGAGTCACCTGGTGGTTCAGAGTAGACTGGTCTGGGATCAGCATCGGACTGGTCAAGTACTCTCCTCAGGATCATCTCATGCTCGCAGCTCAGGCTGAGCCGCGTTGTGCTGTTTCGGAGAGGATGCGGTGACCCTCTGGGTCCGATAGTTCCAACAGATGAGCCACAGGGGGCAGGCGCTACGCGAGATCTCTGGGGCATGATGTTCATCTCTTCGGTGTGAGCAGGTGTGCACACATCAATGCCTGACCCTCCTATGGAGGTGACTCTGCAGTTCAGTGGAACCGAGTTGCAGCTCGAGAAACCAACATCGGCCCCTTTGTACCTTGCTGCCTTCCTTGTACAAATTCCGTGTCTGCTGAAAAGGGTGTAGAGGTCGCGCCTGTATTGCTTCGTCAGCAGAGCATATAGGTACGGGTTGGCACAGGAGTTGAGTGGGTAGAAGAATACCAGGAGGATTTTGGTGTGTGGAACATCAATCAGGGGATACCCTGCTACAGCTGTCAGACCGAAGAAAGCAATAGGAGCCCAACAGGCAAAGTCGGTGAACACAAGGAGTGCCATCCGTTTGGCCACGGTGGTGTCAGAGTGAGCTGCCGCTGAGTTGTGGCCTCTGATTGCACAATAGATGCGACCATAGCATGCACATATCAGCACAAACGCCAAGCCGTTAATCAGGAGCAGGCTCACGAGATACACCTGGTCACCCAAGTCGCGATTTTCCATTGGTAAGCAAATGCTGAAAACGAAGAGAAGAACACAAATGATAGAATACAAACACTCTGTGTTCTCTTCTAACACCCATAAATCCGGAGAATGTTGTTCCTTGCCTTAGCCGAACAGTGTTCCTGCCATGAGCACAGTGACATTTTCATCATACCTGGGAATGCCCGACCCAAATACCTGTTAAGCATCAGAAGGAAACCAACATGGAGACATGTAAATCTTCATGCATTTTACTTCTCAGACAAACAATACCAACATGCAAGCAGTGTTAAAGAGAGCTAAACTATAAACGTCGTATTATCTTGATATTTCTTAGGGAAGAAGATTAAGAGCCTTTAGTTCTAATGGATCAAATCTTCACAAAAACGTTAAATATTAACATGGGAAATGCGCGAAACATTCTGAACTGATACACAATTATACCTTCAGAAATTAATTTATAAGGTCATACGTCACAGAGAATTCTATACACATATCGAGAAAAAGTCGTTCTGTACACCTTAGATTCATTTATAACAGGAAGACTGACTGTTCAGTTTGGTACCATAAAGGGAGAGACCCGCAACGCTTCTTAATTTCCGAAGTAAAATAATATTATAAGTCTGCTATCCCATAGGTTCAACCACAGCGTAGCGTATGAGAGAATAAGGATTCATACGTATTCTTACGACTTTAAGCTGGAAATGCAGCTAATTTCCGAAATGCTGTGATCTTTATGTAAGGCCTAAGTTAAAAATAATCATCTTTGAAGAGTTCCATGTACCTTGTCTTTGAATAACCGCTGATACCAAGAAGGGGCAGTGTGGCCATTGTTACAGCATACAGCCAGCCAAAGCCCATAACCTTGAATGCCGTACTGAGCCTCAGCCTTTTGTCTAGGTGCATGGCATACGTAATGGCATACCATCGCTCGCTTGTTATTACAGTCAGTGTGTATATGGACAGCTCACTGGCGAATACCGTCAGAAAACCTGCAATTTGACATCCTGGACCTGAAATCGTAAACATATGCAACTTGTGAAACAAAGATCTGCTTATTTATAGTCAGTGTTTATATGAACGTCAGGAATCCTGTAACTCAATTTCCTTGGCCTGAATTAGTAGGGAAAAAAAAGATGTGCCACAAAAACGTCTGCTTTTAGCAGTCAATACTGGTACGGACACTTCACTGGCGAACACTGTCAGGAATGATACAACTGGACATTCTAGCCTTTAAACGGAGAAAGAATGCGTCGAGCGATAGCAAAGTCTCTGGTTATTGCAGTCAGCCTTTACGTGGACTTCTGAGTAACGAAGTGCAGTTACATCGTGAAGGTTACTGGTCAGCCTGCAATGGCCACCTTAAACACTCAATGTTTTAGTGTGAACTTATTCTTGCCAAACACAAAGCGAATCTCGGAAGTGAGCCACGTCAAACCTGGTAACCTCCGAGGCATCCGTGCCGTTACTTCCTCGTTTACGTAATCCCATCATTCCAATGTACCACGTGATTTCCCTTTCCTCTAGTTGTTTAGGAAGGAAACACTTCGTCTAAGTACACGGAGCTGAAAGTTTCTCTTTCTTTAGCCAGCGGTCAACGAGGGAGTTGGGTGGAATTCTGTTTGGGTTCTCGTAGCGGCCTTTGAGGGCGAGGAACTGCCCAGTTGCAGCGAGTGTTGGGAGCGTCTGCTGGGGTTCAAATTCATTTAGCGGTTCGGCTTGCATTGCCTCATTTTAACGATTTGAATCTGAGAAAGGATGAAGGGTTTTGCTACGGTTAATTTGTTATATGTGTACGCTTCTATTTTTCCATTTCTGTTCCTGTTTGATGGTAATATTAGGACGAAGTTTCCGAGTGGTAAGTTGCATTTTGTATCTGCACCGACTGAACCAATCGCGTCACAGGTTTAATAACATTGTAAAGATGAAAACATGACCAGAGTTTTCTAATGTTTTTATTCATTACAGATGTCGCATGTTAGTAGTGAAATTATTGTTATTTGTTATGGTGAGCGTTGTATATTACTTATTCATTAGTTTGTTGGCGTTGTTTTCTCCTATTAAATATTTTACTATTATGAAAGTACAAAATTTTCTTGGGTAATGCTCAAAGATTGGACACCCTAATCCATCAGGGAGCATTAGGGACATGACAAGAGAACCGAGGAAAAATTCAACGATCGTCCGCGAAACTGTAAAAGGGCACAGTGGGGAGGAGTTATTAAGGAGGACCACAACAAAATTGTTGAAAACATTGTTTTACAAAACCACAGATGTGCACAGTTCACAGCCCTATGTTGTAACTGATACAGTCACTTAGTTCACATTGAAGGATTTCTCAGGAAGCTCGCAATAATTTCAGATATTATTACCGTATGACATATGAATACACAAAGCAACAGGAGCTGTAGTCCAAGAAATTCACATTTTATGCAGAAACTTTCATTCCATGATGTAGAAGTAATCGTTTATTATACGAGCACGCTAGCAGAATTATGGGTTCATAGAACACGTTATGCAATATTCTTCTCTCAAGGTTATGTCCATATATAAATGAAATTATTAAGGACCATCAGTATGGGTGTCGAAGTAACTTCAGCTACTAATCAGAACTTTTGCATTCGTCAGATACTGGAGAAAAGTGGGAGTACAATGAGACAGTACATCAGCTATTCGTAGACTTCAAGAAAGCCTATGATTCAGTTAGGAGGGAAGTATTGCACAATATTCTCATAGAATTTGGGGTACATGAAACTATGTAGGCTAATTTAAAACTATTTAAACGAAACGTATGGTAAAATTTCTATGGGTAAACACATGCCTGATAATTTTCCTTTCCAGAATTATCTAAAACAAGATGTTTTATCTCCACTGATTTTCAATTTTGCTTTAGATTATGCCATTAGGAAGGTCCAAGAAATCCAGGTGGGACTGAAATTAAACGGGACATATCAGCTGTTGGTCTACGCCGATGATGTGAATCTACTGGGTGATAATGTAGATACCATAAAGAAAAAATACAAACTTTAATTGACCCAAGTAAGGAGGTTGGTCTAGAAGTAAACACAGAGAAAACTAAGTACATGTTGCTGTCTCGTCACAAAAATGTAGGGCACAATCATGACATAAACATAGATAACAGATGTTTTGAAAATGTGTCATAGTTCAGATATTTGGGAACAACGATAACAAATCAAAACCTGATTCATAAGGAAATTAAGAGGAGATTGAACTCGGGTAATCCTTGCTACCTTTGAGTGCAGAACATTTTGTCTTCCCGTCTGCTGTCTAAAAATATAGAAATTAGAATATGTAAAATTATAATTTTTGCGGTGTTATTTATAGGTGTGAAACTTGGCCTCTGACATTCAGGAACATAGACTGAGGGTGTTTGAGAACAGGGTGTTGAGGAGGATATTAGGACCAAAGGGAGATTAAGTGACAGAAGGATGGAGAAAACTACATAATGAAGAGCTTTATAACTTACACTATTCGCCAAGGACGATAAGGTGGGCAGAGCATGTAGGACGAATGTGGGAGAAGAGGAATGCATAAAGGATATTAGTGGGAAATCCAGACGGAAGTAGACCACTAGGAAGACCAAGGCGTAGGTGGGTGAACGTTATTAAGATGGATATTAGAGATAGGATGGGATTGTATGGACTGGATTGATCTGGATCAGAACCGGGACCAGTGGAGGGCTCTTGTGAACCAGGTAAAAGACCTTAGGGTTCTATGAATTGCTGGGAGGTTCTCAAGCTGCACAATTAGCGGCTTCTCAAGAAGGCCACAACTCCATGAATGAGTGAGTGAATGCAAATACTGCGAACACACCAGACTCTTTTATGCAACTCCAGTTTCAGGTCGCAGGAGCTGGCCGAGTACAAAGGATGGAAACCTACATAATAAAAGCAAATATGGGAAATTCATTTCCTCGCCACATTAAAACAAATCCTACATATGCACGCATGCGTACGTACATATATACATTGTAGTGGGATTAAGGTGACTCATTTTACAGCATGACATGTGAACATTCTGCTAACACGAAAATAATGAAAATTTGCTAGCAAGTTTCAAGGATGTGAGTAACGTTATTATTGTAGAGTTAGTTTAATTCGATGAATGATGATCTGATACCTCTGATCGTCTCACTGCAGCAGTGTGTAAATTTATAGTTTATATGACGATACCATATCTCAGAGTATATACCTTCAAATGTTGAGTATTGTTTTAGAAAATATTTTCAAGAAAGCAGCTGTGGTCTAATAAAGTCACTATCTCGTAACTTACCTGAAGGGACTGAGGAAAAACACGAAAATCATCATTCACGATTTATTCGAACCGAATATCTTTGGAGCCGAAATCATAAGGCGTTACCTCTGCATCAGACAGCTCGTGCCCACGTAACAGTTTACAGGATTCAGTGTTGTGGACAGTCAACCTCAAAAGTAAGTTCCCACGCTTATGCTCAGGGTGCCTTGTGTCACAAGTGGAAGGAGAACCTGCTTCTGGAAGCAGCGTGCGAGGACGTGCATGCAACTGAGATGCACCAAGTTGGGAACGCGGCCGCAGTAACTACTGACGAGTTGATTAGTGAATTTATATGATGAAAAAGGCGATTTTGAGTGTGAAAATGGACTCAAAGATGCCAACTAGTGAGAGCTTCCAACACGCTGTTGTGGGAATTGCAGATGAAGATTGTTGAAGCGTTAATAAATTTAAAATATACAACATAAAGAAAGATGAAAAAGTACTTCAATAAAAGTAAACAGACTGCTCAAGCTTCAACCAATTTAAAGTTCACACTGAAATCTGAGATTGTAACACAAATAAAATGCATGAACAAAACAGTTGAATTCTTGTTGTAACATGAATATTAAATGACACAGAGGAACACACAATGGCACTTTTCTTGGAAATTCTCTTTCTAGCGTCAAACACATATGCGGAATAGTGCCGAGTATACCGAAATTTCATGTATAGAGAACTGCACACGAGACAATTTCTTGGGTCGTCTTAATCTAGTACACGATACACACTTGATTGTTCTGAGACCCGGTTTATTTTATTCCTTCATCTAGTATACAGGCTTACTATAAATAATTCATTCGTTTTTAAAACGCTATATTTTCCAAAGCAATACACGTACAAATATGATTGATATATATAAAAAGAACCGTAAACTCACCGAGTTCTCTTCACACTCTACAAATGTTCTATGTGTGCCCCTTGGGTCACACGACACACGTCCAGGCGGTAGTCGAGCTCGTTCCACACATTTTATAGCATCATCCTGTCAATGGTCATCACTGCAGCATCGATGCGTTCCTTCAGCTCTACTAGTGGGGGTACGTAAACACGATCCTTAATGTACCCCCAAAGGAAGAAGTCACAAGGCGTTAGATCAGGTGATCTGGGGGGCCAAGTGAACAGAGCTACGTCATCGTCACCAACACGCCCAATCCAGCGTGTCCTACAATTGCCGATACCACCGCAAAATGCTTTGTTTACATGGCGGTTATTTTCCATACTCTCTTTTGAATGCGCGTTGCACTGCTATAACAGACGAACATCCCGCATATTCCAACAAACAAAAACTCTTTTCTTGCTTTGTCGCCATTTTGTAAAGCCACTGAACTCATGCTGCCAACTGGTGCATACAATACAAACTTAGTGAGTTTACGGTTCTTTTTATATATCAATAATATTTGTATATATAGTACTTTGGAAAATATAGCGTTTTAAAAACGAATGAATCATTTATAATAGCCCTGTATTTTCGTCCCCAACTTTATCTGTTCCTGTCATGCCTCCTAACAAATGTATTATTTCCATTATTGGTGCTCATTCCATATATTCGTAGTACACAACTGACCTTCTAAGCTTAATAACCCAGTATATAACATTGGAGAATATAAATTATGCATATTCTGCTAGTTCTCATGAGTAGCTGATGCAGCATTATTAAATTACCTATTAATCAGTCAGATGTTACTACGCACCCCGCTGCCAGTCAATGGCGTGATTGAAATAAGCGCCAATGGACAGCGCGTCCATACAGGCGATAAGCAGCAAGTAGATTCCCATGCAGAGGTCTGCGAGCGCCAAGTTACACATGAGTAATTTGGGAACAGTCATATGGAAGCGGGAGCTCAGCAGCACCAAAAGCACAGCCAGGTTGCCCACCAGCGCCGCTACAGCCACCAGCCACACAGCACTTCGCAGACCCCAATTACCCATCAAATCTTCGCAAGGGTTGAAGGCGTCTGGTTCCGGGTGACAAGACACGTCCCTGGGAGATCGGGACAAGTTGCCGCAATACGCCTGGATCAGCCGTTGGCTTAGAGAAGCTATACCCTGATGGAATACGCCGTCAGCGTCATCTTGGATGGACGGGAACTCTGCAACCACATGGAAGGGTCATAGCTCACGATTAGGACAAGTTGGGACTCGACGAGGACAGAGCGCTGAGGAGGAACACTGTCCGTTTGAGTGAAACTCTACAACCATATGGATATAATATGAAATTGCGGACAGACTGCCTAGTTGGAACACACTTTGCGAATTGCCTGGGCTACTCTGAAAACCTACAATCGCATAAGAGGGTCAGAGGTCACGGTCAGGGAGAGTTGGTACACACTAAGGATAGAGTGGTGACATTGAACGTACTGTCCAAATCAATGGGTTCGACTGAAACTGTATGAACACGTGACATGATTAGGGATCACGTTTAGGACCAGTTGACGCAAACCGAGGATTAAGTGTTGACGCGGGAAGTGGTCTCCGAACAGCTGGGCTAATCTGTATATCTACAGTCACACGGCAGGATCAGAATCCACAGTCAGGGTATGCTCTTGCTCACTGAGGGACTACAGCTGAGATGAACGCACCGTCTTATCTTCTGGGTTAGAATGGAAATCTGTAACCATATTACAGCTTCAGGGCTCGCCGTCAGAGCGGATTGATACCTCATGAGAGACACAATGCCCAGAAAGAACACGAAGTTCAACCCGCCTTGTCGATGGAACTTTGAAATTACACAGTATGATCAGGCCTTAAACAACTGTGCACCGACCGCATATATACTCTCCCTACTGGGGGCATATTCACAGCTCTTCAATTTGCCTATAGACAACCAACAATTATTTCATGTCACAGTGTAATTCTTACTATAAGTACTCGAAATTTGAACCCCTTACCAAAAGTTATACGAAGAAATGCAGTTAGTTCTAGGAAGCGTCTTCTAGCAAGAATGTCTTGTACAAAAAGCAAATCAGTGTAACAATAACATTTCTAGCAATTTTCATCATACCAATAAGTTTCGGATCTCTGTGATCAAGAAAATGGACCATTGGCTTTAATAATATGTGGGGAATTTCTTCAATAGCTCAGTGATTGCTTCCGAAGGTCTTCAAACCAAAGAGTCAGTTTACTTTAGTCATTTAGTCTCCTGTTGTTCATCAGTCAATTCCACTACAATGGCGGCTGCATGAACTTACCAGGCCTGTCGAAGCCACGTTCGAGGGCTCCCCAATCCGGGGCATGACGCTGGTGGGTAAGGTTGTCGGGTGAGAATACGAGGCGACCGAAGTCTTCGCTGTCACGCCGCTGAAGGGCGTGGGGCGGGGGAACACCAGTTGCCCCGGAGCTGCAGTACTTGTTGTGGATCATGGCCACGAAGCGCTGCAAACAGAGTAGCAGTTTGCTTCTAAATGTCGTTCCATATATCAGGAGAAGATTTTGTATACAAGTTTTGGAATTCTTGTTAAAGTGAACAGAAACTCCATTTTGAGACTATAAAAATTGCTTTCACCTTAAAGTCCTAAGCGTTAACATTTCAATTCCAATGTATAGCCTATGATTAAGGATCTTGTGTAAACGCTTGTGACTGTGTTCTTACATTGGATATTATTGCCACTGGCGTACTTTCCTCAGACTCTTCATAATCTAGGTATAAAAGGATATGAACTTTCAGAAGTTTCTTCTGTCACTTTCCTGGTAGAATTAGTCACAAGAAAATTAATGTTAATTAACCTTAAACCCTGAAATGTCAGTCCGGCTGTTTTCAAACGAGTACTACCGCATTCCTAAACTGAAGTGAGGAGAGACACAAGAAAGGATGAAAGCGTCATGTATGAAGTCCAAGCAGCCTAACGCCTAACACTTAAAGTTAATAAAAGGTAGCAGAAGAATAGTACATAACACAAAGTGAACTGAAAGGTAAACACAAATGTGGTTGGCGTAAAAGGTACTAAATGAGGGTATGAGGAGGCAATATAATTCATAATGTTCCTTGTTGTTAGATCTATTACGTACTTGATTTAAATTGCCCCATAAATTCCAAATTCAGATTTGATGTGAGTGCATAAGACTTACATACAGATGATAATAGCAGAGACCAATAGCCTACCTATTCAGAAAATCTGTTTGTAACTGAATTAAGTTTTGTGAACCCTCCTTTGTCAATGATATATTCAGATACGTTAGAAGCAACAACTGTTGGAAAATTAAAATACTGTCACATGCTGCTTGAAAGACGTTCATCACTAGACAACGGCTAGTAATACTTAGACAGCGATGCCTAGGAAATCGTTGCCCCATAGATAAAAGTGTAACACTGTGATTTCCACCGTTACAAATGAATTGTTTGAAGCAGACACATTCCTGCTGAAACAAGTGGCAGTTGCATAGCAGCGGGCCAAATGAACCCTTCCACAAGGTATTCCCTATTCAGTCAGAGTGCAGGATATAAGAGTCCAACGTTCGTATCCGACGAGAGCTAAGGACAGCAGAGTTCCGAGCAGAGCAGAAGACACTTCACGGTGCGAGAGTGTATAACATGGAACTGGAAACGCCCGAAGACGTTAAGAGTGTGAATAATTCCATTTGTGAGTGCGAAGAGTGATCGCCCAATAGATATTCGCTAAATCCGAAACCCACGGAAACTTTCTTGTCGCGTTACCTAGGATACATGCAACAATGTTTTTAAAATAACTTCTGCTACATCTAAAGTACTAGATGTTCTATAACAAAAAAGTATAAATTATTAGAGATTCTGTTTAATCCACATTAACTGAAATTATGGAATCTGAAGCCTCCGCATTTTATAAGCAAGTAAATTCTGAGTACGGAAACAGGTCACGATTTGGAATCCATTTTATTGGTGTATGGAACCTTGAAATTGTGGTAAAGTTAACTCAGTGACACACCGTTATAATTCAAATAGTCTCGTCATTGCATATCTTGATGAAATCATATTTTAAAATGATGATACTGACGGTTGCGTGAGAGTCTTAATATGCGACCTTGAGTTATATAATCTCCTATTCTGATTGTCTTCTGTTTGTACATAGATAGCCTAAACTGCGGGAAACACTACTTTTCCTTCGCTCATTTGTTACATGTTTACGCCTGACAAGATTCCCAATATGCACACTTTCTCTATCCCCGAAAGTTTCGTAAATTTACTCTGCTTAGGGTGCACACAAACGATCCGCTTTTGCGAATTTTGCTGGCTTTAGTCAGACATAAATTTCATGTCGATATTATCTTGGATTGAATTGTACATCGTTCTCTTCCAAGATAAAGAGATTAACTGCTACTGAGAACCCAAACATCAGATATGTTATTTAAAACTTTAAGTGTATTCTGAGCTTAGAAAAATATCTTTATGTACATGTAAATAACACATCTGATTTTCCATTCTCCATGAACAAGATTTTCTGAATCGAGTAGAATTTTATCAATGGGCACTTCAGTAAATTGCGAGCCAATGAGGTTTTTTCTACTGCTGATATTCTCTGATGAAGCAGCTTTCACTAACTACGACTTCGGATAATTTACAGAACATTTACATTACAAAAATTTACTTCGGCTTGAAGAAGCTGGCAAACAGAAGAAATGAAGCATTAACGAGTGGCGTGGTATTGTTGGTGAGCATATCACTGTACCGCAATTTCTTTACAGTACGCCACTCTTGAGAGACATATTGCAGTTTTGTTAGAGGAAGTTTAAACTGTTTGCAGTAAAATTTGGCAGAGCATGATCAAATGACTTCGAGGTTGCCAAGGGCGTCTTCGAACATCTCTAAAATAACCTTAAAAAGTGTGATGCAATAAAAGGTTTCTCGTCGTATGTCCCTTTCGATACAATGCAATATTTTCTGGAATACTCTGTCGTATCTACAAACACCAGTGGGAAAATCTAGTGGTCTCACACTAGTGCCTCAACTTGTATGCAGGCAGACATATGCTTATAATTCAGATGAGAGGGATATTAATTTTACTAATATCGACAAGAAGTTTCTTCTGTAATTTTAGGCTGTGTTCGGAAAACCACCACTGAGTGCTGAATATGGTAAGGTAACAGGAAAAGCTATCTCTGTAACAGACCGTGGAGGCCCATAGGCTTGTGAGACGTCGAGGCACCCACATTTCCTAGACAATCAGCTCGCAGATAGTAGTGAGGTTTTCAGTCTTACGCGCAGACCTCTCTGGTCCCGCAGAAAGGTACCTAGTAGCCATTTCTGTTAGAAGCTGAGTCGACTCCAGGACCACAGTTTGTCTGGAAGGTTGAGGTAATTTGAAAACTCCAATGGCTGAATATGCAAGTTCGTAAATATATGCATGACATAACAATTGCTTATAATATTAAATTTCAGCATTCTGCCGCACTGGAACACCATTTTAAATTGTAGATTAATCCGTCTGTAATGCAACAAAGTCAGACCTTTCTTAGAAGCTTCTAAAATATATTAACGAGCACTATTTACTGAATTAAATAAATTTTAGTGTATTTTAAGGAAGGACTGCCTTTGTTGCATTAGAGGCGGAATACTATACAATTAAAATTGATGGAAGATCGCTGTTTAATTATGCATGAACTAGCAAAACTTAATAAAAATCCAGTGAACACAAAACGTATACAAAATGTAGTTTGAAATATTTTTAGCTGTGACAAATAATCAGTGATAATCAAAAGGAAACGAACGTACAAAATTTAAACTTTCCTTCATTATTTTATACTTTCCACCATAGTTAGGAAATGTTAACAAATTCAAGTAAACTTTCTAAATATTAAATTTAGGAAAATGTATATACTGGTTCTTTACTTGCTTCATGTGCACAGAGAGACGGACGTATAAAAGGATTTTGTAACTTTGCGAATGCATGAAGGATCACGTCATTAGCTACGTTTAATTTATGCGAAAAGATGAATACACAGCGTGAAGTGAAATTCCCCCATGAACTATCCGTATTGTGGTTCCTCATTAGTTTAGTTTAGTTTCTAAGCAACACGTCACATGCAAGCTGTCAAATGATCGAACAATGGGTTCCTTGTAGTTATAATAGGTGTCAAATCAGGCTGCGTCCATTTCAAAACAGACGTCAGTGCGCCGCACGGCATCCTCTCTCACGTCTCGACATGTTGGCATCAGCCGTTGTAACAGCTGCTTGAAATGTTGCCAGGACATCTTCGATAGACCTGGGACGGATTGTATGAACATGCTCCTATAGGTAGGTGTCTCCAGAGAAAGAAATCCACCAGATTTCGATCCGGCGAATGAGAGGCTATTCAATCGGCCCTCGACGTCCAATCCACCTTCCAGTGTACGTCAAGTTCAACCACTTCTGGACGTTTTCCCAGTAATGTGCTGGGGTTGCGTCGTGCTGAAACCAAAAGCGCAGCCTCAAAACTAGAGGCACAACTTTAATCCGCCTTGGCAAAACAGTTTCTAGAGAATCGTGACATCTTTCAGCTGTTTGACAGGTAACATATAGAGGCCCAGGAAAATATTTCCGGCGATTCCAGCCAAAACTCTGACGCTGAAGCGGGCTGGATACTCAAGCTCGCGGGTAGCATGAGTTTATCCCTTGATCAGAGGTTATCTTTGTGGACGCTGAATATACATTCACACATAAAATATGCTTCGCTTGTCAACACACTGTTATGTAAAAAGAGCTAATCCTCAGTGTGTTGATGTCAGAGTCATTTGCAAAATTCAATCCGTAATGGTCGAGGGTGGAAACGAATATACACTCCGAGTGTAATGGAATGAATGTAATGATTCGTCAAAAAGTGCTTCGACAACCCTCGGTTGGGATGGCAGGAACCTGCCCTCGTTCTACAGCTGTAACTAAGGCATTTTCATCGGCTGGTTTCCGTACAGCTCATGGTCTATCTGCATTCATGCTTTCTTTAGCGTCACATTTCCTCCCTCACCGAGACGCTGTTCTAGTCTTGAAATATCGTTGACATCGACCAGGATAACGTAGCGCGTATTCCCTTGCAGCAGTAACCAGCTCAATTGACTGGGCGAGGGCACACCGAGGAAGTTGGCAACCGCAATTTCCCAGAATTTGTATCAGCCTGAGTTGAACACATGTTACTGAATGTAGCAGCGCAAATTGAGGAAACGGCAGCTCAACTCGGCAGAAAACTGAGAAACTCAACTTCCAGGCAACGGAGCATGCCAGTCGTCTCACAGTTGCGCTGCCGCGTGGTTTCCTAGGATCAGCTGTTCTATAACGCGCTTCAGGGATTCGTCTTTAAGATGGCACGAAAAGTTTACGAAGCTGCTAATTTTGATTTTGTACAGTTAATTAAGCAAAGAGCCTGGTATATAAGACAAACGCCACCCAGACTGTGCTAGGCAGGACAACATAGATTTAGCTTGGGAAAGAATTCCTCAAGAGACGAAGAAGTCTGGATCGTGGTTAAGTACTTTCGTTACAATATAAGCACCTGATTATACGTGTAATTGTCGCAGAAGAATAGGCGCATTAACTTGTGTTATTTTCCTAATGTTGCATTAATATATCATTTATTTCATATATATTTCAGTCTTATATACAACTTATTTTATGCTCTTACTCTCACACTACATGTTTGTGCCGTATGCGGCCATCATAACGGGTCTTCTCTCTTGCTAAAATTGTTGCACTGTATGTCAAAATTTCCTATCGCGTGTGAAAGCGATATTTCCAAATTAAAACAAACTGACCTTAATTAAAATAAATTAATTAATATCCCAGTGCTCAGTGTGGGCCTGCTAATCGGGAAACCAGTCGCCTGATTGAAATCGATGACTTTTCTTGGAAATTGCTGTTTCGTTGCAGTTTCCAGTTTCTTTGGTGTTCCCTCGTCCTTACAGTTGCGGTTGGTTAAGGGCGTATCTCGGTACTCATCATGTGTTGATCTCATTATCATCCGATGACAACTGACACCTGCTGTGCACTTACCTTGATCATTGGCGTACCTCAGAACGCACTATCTCCGTGTCGGATAACACTACTGAGAATTATTGCCCATTTGATGGTGAGGTGTATCTCGAAAATTAACCATCTCAGGAGATATTTTGTGCAACATTTTCGACTTTTTCAAAACAAAGACTCACGCTATGGACAGCTTGTGCTCGTTTCAGTCTGCATATACAACAACATTACAGCGACGTGTCGGTTACCGTCTTTAAAAGAAAACTACCCAGACTTTGTCATGCAGTTATACCGCATTTTATACATCAGTTTAGTAAAACTCCATTTTTGGGGTTTATAAGTCATCCGGTTCCTTCTTCGGAGACATGCTCACTGTCAGCGCGTTGCTGAGCTGTTCTACTGTCGTACGTAAGCTTACTTCGTGCTTAGCAAACTCTTCGGGGTGATGCGTGGCGGGGAACTGGAAGGCGCAGCAGTGATACGGATAGGTCAGCCACGCCACTCGGAGGTACTGAAACACGAAAAGCAGAGTCACAACTGCACTGCACTGAACCATAGTCCTCTGCTGTTTTGTATTCTTTATTATCCCTATATTATCCATTTTTTCCCCTTGGCACTACAGCCCCAGTGGGCCTAGGCCTACCTCCATGAACTTCTCCGTTCACTTTGGTTTTTCTAGATCTTAGACATAGGGTAGGACTCCTTGGGCGGGTGATCAGCTCGTCGCAAGGCCTCTACCTGTACAGAAACACAGAAAAACGCACACAAACATCCATGCCCTGAGTGGGATTCGAACCCACGATCCCGGCTTCCAAGCAAGCGAAAACAGTGCATGCCTTAGACCGCTCGGCTACCGTGACCGGCCTATATCATCCATTACTGATGTCATTTACTACAAGTTATCAGATGTAAATCGATATTCCTATTTCAACGGCAACTCTTTCTCATATTTTGTTGAATTAGAAGTCAACTGATTCAGTTTTTTTTTTCCGCATGGGATGAGACTGAGTCCACTTGGTACTGCGGCCACTACTGGCCCATTGTACCAGCCCCGGATAATAGATGATGGTGATTGTGGAGCAATCACTGGAATGCGAATTGGCAGGGGAAACCGAAGTACTCGGAGAAAAATTGCTCACCACCATAAATCTCACATGACCTGACGAAGCCTCGAACCCGGGCCGCCGTTGTGGGAACTGATTTAGCTACTAAACACTGTACTTAAACTCAGGATAACTGGGCTTTTAGACATTTTCCATCGCCTGGTATTCTAAAAACATGAGAGAACACGAAGTTTCGGAAACTGTATCTGTTTCCGTCCTCAGGTTGGATTGGGAGACACTTACTTTGTTGGATCAGTTAGAACCCAGTAATCCTGAATATTATACACCACTGTCAGAATCCTTTAGAATCTAACTATACTTAAAACCTGAACAGATAAAAACTTAAATTGGAGAGGTTTGAATATGAATTTCAATTAACATTTTTGTGTAAATTTCTACATTACACAGAGACATAGGTAGTTTTCTTTTAGTTTTATTACACATTCAGGATGTCAAAAAATGTTCTAAGTAAACAGCTGTGGTCAATCATGGTGTCTTTATTTTATGTTACAACCCAGTGCCTAGTCTGATGGACAAGTTATAGAGAAATATGGTTGAAGTTTAATACGAGCTTCATGCGACGCATGGGTTGAACAGGAATTATCAGATACTGTAGCACACTGGCTGTGTTTTCAAGTTACCTGCTGGTCTCCGGCATACCCACATTATTCAGCAGCGCACAACGCTACTGAACTCTCTCTGACTTCCTGCGTAACTACTGAGGAATATTTCGTTTATCCGGCTGAGCTCAATGCTGGCCTGAGGAAGCCACCCGTCGCTACCGCGCCACAGACTGAGTCTCGGGGAGCAGAAAGAAAGACGAAGAAAAAAAGGGCGGTGAAGGGGTGACGGCCTTGAGTGGACAAAATAAATACCTCGGATTGCAGATTCTGTGCTCAGAAAGGAGGCAGAGCCCTACTTTACTAATCCCTGGCACAGGGTGCGTAGTTAGTACCATGCAAGAAGAGCCAGGTAAAAAGCATCAGCTTAAATTGTATTCACTTGGAGTTTGTTTACTGATGCGTTCATTAATTCAGAGATCATCATCTGAGTGTAAATGCTTAATGAATCGGGAATGACGTGGAAAGAAGCAACCGTAGCCTAGTGAAACACTCTCTCTAGGCGTTTGGCAGAACAGATTAAGCGAATCTGTGAAAAATCAATCAGGATAATCTGGGATTCGAATCGGGTACCTCCAGAATAGAAGTCAGAAGGTGTTATTTAGCGACCTTTTCAATATCGAGAATATGTAGCGTAGGATGAACGATGAACAAGGAACCGAACGGTTGTGTTATAAGTGAGGTACAAAACAAACAACAACCAAACTATACCGACCGAGCGACCGCCGCTTGTCGGCGAAGTTTAGTGCCAACATTTGCGGATACAGAGTGTCACATTGTCAGCGAAACGAATCCCCACGGCCGTTAATTTCGGTTTTCCAGACCGGAACCGCTAATTCCTTGAAATAGCTCGTCAATTATCATCATGAGGTTGAGTGGACTCCGTTCCAGACCCACTACTTCTAGACCGGAACCGCTAATTCCTTGAAATAGCTCGTCAATTATCATCATGAGGTTGAGTGGACTCCGTTCCAGACCCACTACTTCTCAGAAAAAATCTGGTAGCGCCGGGAATCGAACCCGGACCTCTGGATCTGTAGCCAGGAATGCTGACCACTAGACCACAGACGCGGTCTACAAGTGAGGTACTGTTCCGGTATGTGCCTGCGCAGACTAAGGGAAACCAGGAAAATCCCCCATCCAGAAATGCTGGTGTCCCGGCAGAGATTCGAACCGAACGTTTAACTCTTAACATTAACTCTAGTCTAACCAGTTTGACCTCCTAGAGGTACCTTCCTGTAAGAACACGCTGAAAATTCATCTAATTTACATTAAATGTAACGCAACGTTCTATGAAGTAGTTTTGGGACGACAAATTCGGGCATTGGAATATCTGTTTAAACTAAAAGTACGGTGCATTCCGAGAGCGAAACAAACAGAAAGCACTGGGTGCTGCTGTGGCGATACCGTTCTCGCGCCATTGCTAGACACTCGTGAGTCCATTTCCAAGTATCACACTTGCTAGCAATAAAGCGATCTGTTATAAAAGTATTGATTTTATGTTCAGCTTTAAGTACCAAGAGATGCTGATTTACTTCCTCAGCAACTAATTTCGAGTTGGTGAATATTTAAATATAAAACACAAAGTGAGACACGCTATTTAAGTTATCATATGAGTAATTATTGAAGTAAACGCTGATATCAGTAAATTGCGAAATAACATTTTATTTAAATTTTTTACGAATGTAATAACGAATATTTTTTTCTCTTGTAAGATTTGAGGCTTTCACGGCGGTGACTATGAAGAAAGTAGTCTTCTGGGATTTGGCACCGTGTATATGTGGTGTTACGTTCCTCCGAAACGTCGGTTAACACCACATATACACGGTGCCAAATCCCAGAAGACTACTTTCTTCATTTTTTCTTTTTGTTGTAGTGTCCACTTATCTACTAAGTCAGATATGAAAGAATGAAACTTTTGTGAAATTCGCATACGGTATGCCTTCTTTTACCTTTTAACCATTTGAAGAGAAAATTAAATTTTCCTTGTCTCCTCAAATAAAGTGACGTCCCTTGTCAATCTATTTTTCCTCAACTACTCCCTGTCTGTATTTTGAAACTTGCTGGCAGTCTCCATAGCCTGGCTTTTGCACAGTGGAAACTGACCTCAAAGTTGTATATGGAGGGAAATCTCTTGAGGCTGTCAGTGTCCTGAAGGCGGAGTATCTCAAGTTCCTTAAGCCCCAGGGTCGGCATTCGTGAGATGGCCGTCTCAGAGAGATCCCTGCAACATAGGAACATATGACCGACGGATTTCATGCGCTAAGGGAGCATGTATTTTTCCTATACAAAGGCAAGGATACGCCGTCATGTTGCTAATTCTGCGACAAGGGTTTGTTTAGACACTCAAATTCCTCTAACTGCAGCCATTCGCTGCCTTAGTTTCGTGCCCTGCGCCCGCCAGTACAGAGCACTTCGCAACTTCTTCTAATACTAATCCAGGCCTGTCGTTCGAACGCTGGACTAACTGGTAGAAGCGATTGGGGATAATTTCGATTGACTTTTGTGGCAATTCTTTATATTCAGCGTAATTTCTGAGTTTGTGTCTGCGTGATTTAGAATGTTACATTGTTACTTGAACGACCACATTTCTTGCGTATAGGATTTCTTGAGCCTTTAACTGGCCAGAGATCAAACAGTGCATTGGCAATAAGTAGCAGTCACTTGAAGGTGCGGTATTCTGATTTTAACGCCATATATTCCATGCTTTATTTGGGAGCTATATCGCTTCCATCTTTAGTTCGAACAAGCCAGAAAAGAAGCGAGTAGTCTTTGGCCATTGATTCTTGCTAAGTTCTTGCTTGATGTACTCTTCCTCTCTAAAATGGAAGAGAAATATTTCTAGAAGAGTCTGGATTTTCCAGATTGTACCGGTTAGAACACAAAAGGCATTATTATTCATAGTCGCTGTTGTGATAATCTCAAGTCCAACNAGCACAACACTAGCTTGGAGTACTGAATGCACGTACAGAATGCACGTTCAACCTTCGCATTCCATCCGAAGTTGCCCTCGCGTTAAAACATCACTATTAAAATATTTAAAAAATATTTAAAAATATTTAAAAGTTTAAGACTTTTGAAGTAAAATATACACATTGACATTTGTAGCAGTGCCCACACAGCATATATACTGTGTACAGTTAAACAACGCCAGTGTTTTCTTGTTAGTACCATGTGCCTCTGAAGATGGTTTTACTAAAACCGAAACATGTAAGGCAAGAGTGAGAATGAAGTGACCTAAAAAACACTGTTACACTCGACGGACTTTGTATTGATTTCAAGTCCAACCAATTTCGTCTTCAACATTCCTTTCGCTGGAGTTACGGTTTCAGAATAAAGCTATATATTTTCAGCCAAATATGTTCTATTAGTACGTTCAGAAAGATACGCAATCCGCTACTTGCTTATGCGATACACACGCAATTCTGCTCTCTTTCAAATAGCAGTCTTATCTCTCTTCTTTCCAATCTGACACAGCCTAACACTGATAGAATTCAAGTGGTAAAAGATAACAGATTTAATTTCTAGATATGCCTCATGATGGGTTCTTTACAATCACCATTAGACCTGAATATGAAGACAGGCATACATCGACAGAGTCGTTTTGTTACAAACTGGTCTTCATTTAACAGAAAAATGAATTGAAAATTTGTTGAGAATCTAGTAATGTAAAAATGTTCAAGTTGGTAATAGTGATCTATATTTATTTTTCTCTGTTTTTGTTTTGTATTGTAATAAAAAGTTTCTTCTCATCCAATATGGCTGTTAAGTGATATGTAAGCATGACACAAAGAAAGTCAACAAAATTTGTATACAAAATATGATTAAAATTATGTATTCCTGTCATTATATACTATTGTGAATATTCTAGTGCCTGTGCAATTCAACGGTCTGTGGCAATACAGTCGATGCTATTTAACGGAAGTCAGTTAATAAAGCGCTCTCAAAGAATGAAACGAACAAATAATAAAGGGCAGAGAGAATATTGGAAGGAAAGAATTGAGGCACGAAAGAATAAAAAACAGTAGTCACGTGAAAGTAACAAATATTTGGACATTTGAATTGGATTGCTGAAGCTGTAGCTCAACACAACGATAAGGCACACGTATCTCGGCTGATTTTGAGATCTAGAGTATCATTTGGAACAGGAGGTGCGCCGGGAGCTTAAATTCTTTTATTGCATCCGGTACGTGGTAACTGTGACCACACTAAGCTTACGTCAACATAATATCTCTGCGCGACGTAACTAGCATGTCGCTTCCACCAACAACATGAGTCAGGACGCAAAGTGCAGCCGGATTGTCACAGCGCCGACTGTTTGGAATTCGTGCTTAAATTATTGTACTTTCTTGAATACCAGACAACATATTTCCGTGCTTCGATTATGAATAATTGTAGATCACGCGCGGGTATGGGAAACAAAGCAAAGTGCCGGTACTTACAGATCCCTGAGACTGCGCAGTCCCTCAAAGGCGCTGGGCTCGATGGTACGCAGTGCTCTGTTTCCTTTCAGACTCCTGCGACAGACATAGATACACGGTCACGTCATTATAGATCTGGGCTGTGCCAGGAATAATGGGAATTTGTGGTTCAACAGCAAAATATTCTCTTTCTGTACACGTAACAGTATTACAGAAAATCCATGCACGGGAATTTTAATAAAGAGTTGGGTAGAATTCCCGGCACTGTATGGGCTTGAAATGCAGAAAGGGGAAGTTAATATGGTTTACGCCTAGCCTTCCGGTTCTGCAGTACCTAAGAGTCCAAAGCTGCAAATCAGGAATAACACCGAGCAAAAATGGAAATATTCAACGTCCTGTATCCTTGCTTGGGTAAAACAGCTACCATGAACATATTCCTCTTTGCACTTGTGTAGTTAAATTGTTCATCGAGGAACATATTGAAAGATTACAACATAACATGAAACAAGTGGGTTACTTATGGCGCATGCTGTACCTACGTGTCTGGCAGATATCGCTACTGTACAGACACAAACACGTGCCCTTTTCCTCTTCCTATACTAGACACTGCTGAGAGAATTAAACTTTCTTCGGTAATCTTCATTGCATCCGAAAACTTACTCAATGGTAAACAATTTTTATATCCGTAACTTGTTAAATACACATTAAAAATAAAAATATGGAATGGAAGTTAAAGTTGTTCCTGTGTTTAGGCACGATAACTTAAATACGCACGACTATAATGGGCATGAAATCATAGACCGACGCATTTTATTAATTGGCAGTATTTCAGATCAATAAGCAGCACAACCCCGAGAAGAAAGTCCAAGATACACAGGTACTAGAACTAAGGATACTCGCTGGCTTCCCACCGTGGCGGACTGGGTTCGATTCCGTGTCTGGTCAAATGGGATTTGTGGTGGACAAAGTGGCGCTGTGGCAGGTTTTCTCCGAGTACTTCGGTTTCCCCTGCCAATCTTCATTCCACCAATTACTCCACAATCACCCTCACCTATCATCTGGGGCTGGTACAATAGGCCAGAAGCGGCCGCAGTACAAAGGACTTAGTCCCACCCCACTAGCAATAAAAAAAAGCTCCGTAGAGTAATGCAAGTCTAATTCAAACAAACATGTTTGAAATAAAAGTGTGTAAACCTAAAAGACAAAGAGTTATGTCATTTACGATTACATGGTATATATTAATTACGACGAGCCATCTTAAAGACATTTTATGGAAACATCGGTAAACGCTGTAAGCATGCATGTTTCGGCAACGTCTACTAATTTCGCGTCATTTTTTCTGCAGTTCTTTTCACTTTGTCATGGTTCGTGCGGAATGTAAAGGCCTCGGTTGAGGACAGAAGTTTGCAGTGGCTTTAAGCGGCACTAACGAGAAATCCGCCACGTAACCCTTGCCTTTATGTCTGTGTAGCGTGTAATTATTGGCTGTGACGGAAGTGTGCGGTTACGCAGCAACATAATTACACAGATTATATTAGTACCGTTGAGTCGTACCCGACTGCCTTGTATCTGTTTTCCTTGTAATTATTAGCTTTACTGGAAGTGTGCAGTTACAGGGCAACGTAACAAGCATTAACATACACGTCAAGTGTCAGTTTCATTGTGTCATTCTATAAATGTCTGGTAACAAATTATAGCGTTTAATAGAAATTAGTGGTTTCACGGTAATATAAGGGAGCAACACACAAGGTGCGTGTCAGTTTCACTGCATAAGAACCAGTTCTTCTGTATCTATCTAGTGCAGTTATTAGCTTTGTCGGAGATCTGCGGTTACACATCAGCAGCAAACATTGGCATGCGTGGATGTGTGAATTTCGTTGCTTCTTGTACAGATACTTTGTGTTTGGTGTGGGTGTATCCGTTGGCTTACATATTGAGCTTGTACACAGACATATCAGTGACGCAGATACAGGACCCGCTGGACGCATGTATTTCACTGCGTGACAGCAGGCTGCTCTGTACCTGTGTGGCACAAAGCCTGTGGCTACACTGCAAGGTGAGAAGCAACCGTTCACATATGCGAAATGCGTCACAGCAGGCTGCGGCTACACTGCAAGGTGAGAAGCAACCGTTCACATATGCGAAATGCGTCACAGCAGGCTGCGGCTACACTGCAAGGTGAGAAGCAACCGTTCACATATGCGAAATGCGTCACAGCAGGCTGCTCTGTACCTGTGTGGCACAAAGCCCGTGGCTACACTGCAAGGTGAGAAGCAACCGTTTACATATGCGAAATGCGTCATAACTAGCTCTCTTATATTTGTATAGCGTGTAATTACTACCTATTGAGAAGAGTGAAATAATATTTCGTTGTAACAAATAATAATAATATACAGAGACCTAGAGGACTTTTATTTCTTTGGATCATGACGGTCGAATTTAAAGAAATACAGTGCATGCTTCATATTTGTCGATTTACATGTTCATTATCGACTTCAGCTGACACCGGAAATTCGACCTTGGACACGTAGATATACAGATGAATTCAATCCACAACTTACAGACTGCTCCGCACCTCTATGAATATTTCCCACTCAGTTTCTCCTATTCAGATTCCGTGACCAAAATCGTGGATGGATTTCTCATTCTCTACATACATGCTACATGTCCCGCCCATCTCACTCTTCCATATTTAATTATTTTATTAACGCCATGCAAAAGGTAGAAATTATGCCACTCCACAGACACTAACGACATGAACGACGTGACGTGACGTGACGTGACTTGGCGTGACTTGGCGTGACTTGACTTGACGTGACGTAAATTGACGTCAGGCGAGGCGAGACTAGGCTAGGCTAGGTTAGGTTAGGTTAGGTTAGGCTAGGTTAGGTTAGGCTAGGTTAAGTTAGGTTGGGTTAGGTTTGGTTAGGTTAGGTTAGGTTAGGTTAGGTTAGGTTAGGCTAGGTTAAGTTAGGTTGGGTTAGGTTTGGTTAGGTTAGGTTTCGGTAGGTTAGGTTTGCGCAGTAGAATTGTGCGCACCAATCAGTAACTGAGGAGTACCATTCGCTGTTGTTAAGTTAGGTGAAGTGAGGTGAGGTGTGGTGAGGTGAGGTGACATGACGTTACGTGACATCAATTGACGTGACTGGACGTGACTTGGCGTGACTTGACGTGGCTTGACGTGACTTGGCGTGACTTGACTTGGTGTGACTTAGCTTGGCTTGACTTGACGTGTCTTGACGTCACTTGACGTGGTTTGACGTGACTTGGCGTGACTTGCCTGACTTAGCGTGACTTGACGTGACTTGACTTGGCGTGACTTGACTTGAGTTGACGTGACTTGGCGTAATTTGACGTGAGGCGATGCGAGACGGGGCTAGCCGAAGCGCGGCTAGGCTAGGCTAGGTTATGTTAGGTTCGGTTAGGTTGGGTTAGGTTAGGTTAGGTTAGGTTAGCTTAGGTTAGGTTAGGTTAGGTTAGGTTTGGGTATGTGAGGTTTGCGCAGTAGTCTTCTGCTCATCAATCTGTAACTGAGGGCTACCATTCCCTGCTCTTAAGTTAGGTGAGGTGAGGTGAGGTTAGGTGAGTTGAGGTGAGGTGACATGACGTAACTTGGCGTGATTTGACGTGAATTGGCGTCACGTGACGTGACTTGAAGTGACTTTATGTGACTTAGCGTGACTTGGCGTGAGGCGAGGCGAGGTGAAGAGAAGGGATTCGAGGCGAGAGGAGGCTAGGTTATATTAGGTACGTTAGGTTAGGTTAGGTTATGTTAGGTTAGGTTAGGTTTGCGCAGTAGACTTGTCCGTATCAGTCAGTATCTGAGGAGTAACATTCCCTGCTGTTAAATTAGGTGAGATGAGGTGATATGTGGTGAGCTGAGGTGACGTTACGTGACGTCACTTGGCGTGATTTGGCTTGACTTGACGGGACTTGACGTGACTTGGTGTGACTTGACGTGGGTTGACGTGGGTTGACGTAACTTCGCGTGAGGCGAAGCGAGACGGAACGAGGCGAGGATAGGCTACGGTAGGCAAGGCTAAGTTAGGTTAGGTTAGGTTAAGATACGTTGGATTAGGTTAGGTTAGGAGAAGTTTGCGCAGTAGACTTCTGCGCATCAATTAGTAACTGAGAGGTACCATTCCCTGCTGTTAAGTTAGGTGAGGTGAGTTGAGGTGAGTTAGTGTGACGTGACTTGGCGTGATTTGACGTGATTTGACGTGACTTGGCGTGACTTTACGTGGCTTCAAGTATCTTCACGTGAAGCGAAGCGAGACGGGACAAGGCGAGGATTGGCTAGGGTAGGCTAGGCTAGGTTAGATTAGGTTAGGTTAGGTTCCGGTAGGTTAGGTTTGGGCAGTAGACTTGTGCGCATCAATCAGTAACAGGGATACAATTTGCTGCTCTTAAATTAGGTGAGGTGAGGCGAGGGGACTGAGGTGAGTTGACGTGACTTGGCGTGATTTGACGTGCCTTCACGTGACATGGCGTGACTTGACTTTACTTGACGTGACTTGACTTAATTTGACGTGAGGCGAGGCGAGACGGGGTGAGCCGAGGCGAGGCTAGGCTAGGCTAGGCTAGGTTACATTAGGTTAAGTTTGGTAAGGTTAGGTTAGGTTAGGTTAGGTTAGGTCAGGTTATGTTAGGTTAAGTTAGGTTCGGTTAGGTTTGCGCAGTAGACTTGTGCGCATCAAGCAGTAACTGAGGAGTACCATTCGCTGCTGTTGAGTTAGGTGAAGTGAGGTCAGATGTGGTGAGGTGACGTGACATAACGTCACTTGACGTAACGGGACGTGACTTGACGTGGCTTGGCGTGACTTGACGTGACTTGGTGTGACTTGGCATGACTTGACGTGGCTTGACTTGACTTCGCGTGACTTGGCCTGACTTGGCGTGACTTGACGTGACTTGACGTAATTTGACGTGAGGCGAGGCGTGGCGAGCCGAGGCGAGGCTAGGCTAAGTTAGGTTAGGTTAGGTTTGCGCAGTAGACTTGCGCGCATGAAGCTTAGGAGTACCATTCGCTGCTGTTGAGTTAGGTGAAGTTAGGTCATATGTGGTGAGGTGACGTGACTTGACGTCACTTGACGTAA